GTATCATGTACACGATGTAACATATAATGTCAGTACCATGTACACGATGTAACATTTAACGTCAGTATCATGTACACGATGTAACATTTAACGTCAGAATCATGTACACCAGTGGTTTCCAAACTTTTTCAGGCTGGCGCCCCCTTTGGCTCCCTAGTAAATTTCTAGCGCCCCCCACAGACATACGCCTCTTTCTTGAAATTTAGTACGCTGCAATTTTAAAAGAGAAAGACTAAACACAAATGTGTATTTCACAAATATAACCCCATTTAGTGAACCACTGTGTTTTTCAGCTGTTTTAACTGTTTCAGCACTAGAAACCTAGGACGTCTCGGGCGAATTTACGGCCGGACTTGAATATTATATTATATTATATCATATTATATTATATTATTTTATATTAACTTATGCCATATATTATTATATTTAGAAAATCTAAATTAGTAAATTAGTATACCAGTTATCATAATATATTCATTATTCAATGGACCAGTCATGAATAAAGAACAGTTACTACAAATCAATCCAACAAACAAAGAAGCTTGCTTGCCGCCTCAAGCTCGGTCGGTATATCACAGCTACGCGAGGCTGCGCTGTTCAACAGCAACGCATAACTGCGCCCGGCCTGCACATACTGACGCCTCTGATTTATTTGGGGCGTTTATTATTCTTTATTCTATTTATTTATTATTCGGGGGCCTTTATTTTCTTGAAAAGTTGACTTCAATAAAACCTTTCTTCCTAATGCTACGATGAGCTCAAACAATTATGCAATTTATGAGCCAAAACTTTGTTAATGTTAGGAGGCAAGGTTATGCGCCCCGTGACTTATTAGATATTTCTATCTGGACCTAGGGACAGGGATTCGTTGACTGAATGCGCGAGGGATAAGTAAGACACCATCTGTCTAGAGAACTTATCTTGATACGGGGTAGCAATACATGAGAGTTATATTAGAGATATAGGCTATGATGACGACCGTCATCATAGCTGTCTAGTACTTTTCCATCAATCTCTACCACGTCTAGTGAATATTACGTCTTAATTACAGATGATCTAATCCTAAAGTGTAATTAGAATGATACGCCTGATTGACACCGGACATTAACAGAATTTATGAAGACATCTATCTGGGCTTGAACAAAATATGGTTAATGGATTACTTTTTATGTGGGGCAATATTCTTAGTTTCACTGAGAGCAAGTTCCCCACTTAATAACAAGCCACATAACGCAAGAATTCACGAGTGATTAGCTCAATGTCTAGAACACAAACAAGATGCGTAGGTTATAATTCAACGCGGTGTATTATTACCAATTACCCTATTAATTGTAGTAATTATCATACGTCACCTACCCCCCAATACATGACTCTCTCTTGGTAATTTCTTCTCACAACAAAAATTTTTCCATTATTCGTAGGTCTTTTAATCAGCTATAATTAATGATTGGAGTTCGGGATCCCTTATAGCTTGAAGCTTTCGATAAAATTAATTAACTAAGAAATGAAAATAATTATATTTATGCACAGTTTTGGCTTATGGAGTAAAATGGAACACAATATTATTTATCAGAAAATATATATAACCCTTTGCCTTTGGCCTCTACTGTAATACATGATAACATTTAATTTTATTTTTTCCGTCATCAACTCCCACGAAAATAGGTTTGTCTCCCTTTAATATTTATGAATCACATTAAAAAAGAACCAGTCCATTGCAGCTTGCAATGGATAACTGAGGTAAGTTTAGAGTGGAGCGATGCGTTCACTGTTTAGTCTTGTAAAGCTTAACTAAACATTTTAATCCCGGGGAACTTAGTCATAAGCTAAGTAAACTCATTGGTCAATTCGAATGGCTTATTATTAGCTGACATTTAAGAAATTTAGTACAGTGCTGTATGAAAACGAATTAAAATCCGTTACGATTTCGTTTAGTGAATATTTTTGAGTTACCATCACATAAAATGCTATAACATTGGTCATATTAAATATGAATAGTGATAAACATTACAAAAACTAACAAACATTTCGCACGAAAAAATTTTTTTACACAAGATTTATTCTTGCACAGGTCATTGCAAAATACACAGTTGGGTTTAATTCAATTTTATGAAAGGATAAGGATTAATATTTATCAAATGAGAACGGTTGATTCCGTTTCCTTGGTCTTTCATCCAGATTTCCAGATGCATTGTTCCAGTATCTCTATTTTTGTGACTCGTACGAGTCTATTGGCATGTAATGCATTTATCGCAGGATATCGCTCCCACGCTTACTCAGGCCATCATTAGCACTGCAAATTGATTTATCTCCAATTGAACCATTTATTTTTTAATGTATATATGTTGTCATTGTTGTGTCTCAACTTACCTGCTTTATATGAATATGGTTTGTCTCCACTTAACCCATCTGTTTTATATGAATATATGGTTTGTCTCCACTTGATTTATCTGAATATATGGTTCGTCTCCACTTAACCTATCTGTTTTATATGTATATCTGATTTGTCTCCGCTTAACCGCTCTGCTTTTTATGGGAGAACCAGTTACTAGATGACTCTTCAGCAGGTAAAGGATCTCTAGGATACCGTTGCTGTGTACAGCATCAATCAATTGTCATTTTCGATTGTCGCCACAGACAATAAAGTCACCGACTCTCGCTGCTAAAATATTCTATATAAAATAGATAGTATAATATTAATATTTTCCTTAAATAGGGTTTCAATAATTTATTAACGAACATCACTATCTTCGTAATGTATAACCGATTGCTTTGTCGAAATATTGAAGACTAGCAACTAAACGATTGTTCTAACGGTCGACCCGGTTGTAATGTTCATCCTGAACAAGTTTATAGATAAACAAGATGGTGTAGCCGCTGACGACCAGGGGGAAACAGCGACCTTTGAATGTCTTGTACTGCGTTAGAACAGTGTAGCGGTGTCAGCGTTGACTAGTATGTTAGACTTGTCATCGATTGTCATCATCGCAGAATTTGCACAGCTTGTAATGGGTCTCGAACATGCAATTTACTGTTCCATTACTGCTGAGCTTTACAGCCCGGCCACCTCGCCGATTTGACCAGAAGTGTCACAGGTAGCTGGAATCGAACCCACAACTTTCTGCTCCGATTCTGGTATTCTGAACTGCAGCCACTGGGCCTCCCTGCCCCCCACCCTGTTAGTTCTGCCGACACTTGATTCCTGCGAACCTTGACTTCTCGCAACAATGCAGCCCGCCATTGAATTATATTACAGTTCAGTTGTTTCTATATAACAGTTAGTTATATTATATAATGATATAGCAGTAAATTTGATGATCTTAACTGAAGTTTACATATACTTGAGCTGACTTGGCATAATATGATACGGATATGGAATTGAGCTAATTTTATTCCCCCATTGTATAGCCGAATAGACACTTTCCGGACCCGCCTGCGAACTCGCCTGCGGACTCAAACGCAAAGGAGAGGTGCAGGGGGAGGAGAAGTGCAGGGGAAGGAGAGGTGCAGGGGCCGCACGCCACCAGACAGATCACATCCATTGAATTGGACCAATCAGCCAACAGGAAAATAGCCTGACGTCGTATGGCCCAGCGTCGTCTGCCAATACGCGAAAAAATTTTACACCACCCGGACGAAGCGCGCCGGAGCCGTCCGTATCTGTCCCGTGTGTCGAATCAGCCTACGGTCGAACGGCCACGCGTCGTACGACGATAAATTTTTGTAATAGAACTATGCTATCTGCAACCTAAACTCAGCTGCTGTGAGCTAAAAGTTACGTAATTTTGCGAAGCTGTGGAAGTCGCTCGTCGAAGGACGATTGATTTTGGAACGGAACTATGCTTTTTGAAACCTAACCCCAATGTTGTGAGCTAAAAGTGACGGTCTGGTGGTGCACGGCAGGTTGCATGCAGTTCGACTGGCGGGCTGGGCTGGTTGGTCGCAGTCCGTTGCCCACAAGTTACAGTTCGAGCTAAAGTCAGGGTATGAAGTGCCGATTCGATGCAACGTTCAGTGGTGGACAACCATTATTCTCTGGGCTATTCGCTTCAGAATATGGTGGCGTTAAGCTCCTAATACTGTATGTAAAGCAAGATGATGACACGGGCTAGTTACCGTCGGATAGCTTAATCCACGGCTGATTGGTGGTCATCCGGATATATGCTAGGCGTTCCTTTCAAGGCTGATTGGTGCACAAATTTGATGTTGCACGGCTGCGTACCCATATTTCTTACAGTTCTTCACAAGGTCGGATAATTGATCCCGGTTTGCTGTAGAAAAAAATTGCAGGGGTATATAGTCTATAGATAGCAACTTGCTAATCAGTTCATGCTTCAAATGACGTCTCGGACGAATTTACGGCCGGACCCGCGGCCGGTCACGCGGCCGGGCTCCTGATTCAGTGTACATCGAATATCTCCCAAAGTACTGAACGTAGCTCGATGAAACTTGGTAACGTACACGTATTCATTATGGCCTGACGGTTATGTCAAGCTCGTGACAATATTTTTTGATTTCGCCTTCATTCATGAGTTATATGACGAAACGTGCAGAAATTTGCAGTGTACACGAGATTTCTTCTAAAATACTGAACAGATTTGAACGTCTTCAAATGACGAAACTTTGGCATCAAATTAGGGAATTCTATTTTTGATTCTCGGTAGTGACAAGTACGTGAGACCTGTCAGGGTTCGCTGTGAAATTGCTCAAGCTTTAGAGGGACCCGGCACCAGGATTGTGAAAGTGAGCGGCAAGCAGTGTCCAATTTTCACCCAAACGATGTACTAGAGTTAGACTCTATGTAGCCTTTAAAATTATAATCGCTCTTCAAAACTTGAGTACCTCGTGAAGTAAAAATTATTTTTTATATACATAGTTGAAGAATATATCTCATTTCACTTCAATAACGATATAATAAAATCAATTTTGTAATTCGTATTATTTCGAATAACTATGAGCGGAAAAGCAGTGGACGTCTGCTTCCGGATTGTAGTCCGACAATTCTGCGTGGGCTTTCTGCTCGCTGCGTACATTACTACGAAATCGCAAAATATTCGTCATCATCGGGAAATTTTTATAATTGTCATTCAGATATCCGTCAAAAAACGAGGTAAAATGAACGTTTCAGGCAATATTCCCAAAGTTACTTTAATCTTGGCAAAATGATGTTGTGACGACGGATGAGAATTACTTTAACTCTTCAGGTGGAATCCGGGTTGTTTGTTGTCACTTGTTCTGGTGGCAATTTGCAAATGGTAGTGAACGGTGCCATGCCACTGAGTTGTAGCCTTGTCGCCGTAGGGCAAACGCCAATGGTGATTATTACATACTAACATGGAATCTGACACGAGAAAGACACCTACGATTTATTCTTTCTTATTTAATCTATATTCTATAGCGGTATAGCCTTAAGGTATTAGCCTAATACTAGTACCTAATGGTACCTAATGCTATTAGTATTAGGTAGTAGCTCAGGTCAGGAAGGTAGGCCTATCATTAATTCATAATTTTATTTTTAATTCGTCATTTATTAGTCATTAAACTAAATCAATTAATTATCAAATATTAATCTAACTGGCATCAGGTTCTACCATTCTGGTAGTGGTAAGGGTGGAATTTTAGAATTTCATGATGATTTCATTTGGCATCACCCTTCTCACAGGGTGCAGAGGGTGCAACTTGCAAGCAGCATTGCATACCACACTCAGGATGATGTTTGTTTTTGCAGAATTTTCCCACACATTTTTACTTTTTTAAGCCATTGCTGCGCACAGTTGGCGCAATCCGCAATGTAATCAAAATTGTTTCTCTTCGTGCACGGTGCACGTGTTCGCGCAATCTCGGCCATCAATTTTACGTCGCGCTGCCATGCAAGAGCAGCTTGTGGAGGAACAGACGTTATACTCAGTAGTCAGTACAGTATGCCTTTAATTATCTTTCAATAGAATATGATTTTTCTTGATACGGAAATTTGGTGAATGCGAAATCTAGAACTTTATTTTAGAAGAAATTTTCTCCAAAGTCATATGGCAACATTGAACACTGTCTGTCTGTGTACATTTCGTATGTATAATAGCCGCAGTTTACGATTACCATACTTTCCATCTCCGATAAGCAGAAGAGTCAGAAGTAACCCAGACATGTCTTACACTTGAATTATTGTTAGTTTGACTTGCGTAGTTGATAATTTGATATAAACTTTGATCTTTGATGACCAACAAAATATAACTTTTTAATAGGGAAACTTCATGTTTATTATATACAAGTAATGATCTTTATTTAATTAGAGCATAGTGGCAAAGCAGAGTTTTTTAGACTCTCCCTCAAGTTCATTTTTGAGTCCCATAAGTAGACCAGTAAAGTATCCTGGATACCAGCCTTATCAAGTTATCATACATAAGAAATTGGTTTAAATCTTAGGTAAATGAGGAAGTTAAAAATGAACTGATTCTAAAAAATCTCTGGTTTGTCACTATGAATTAGAGCCATATTGAAATGTTTTTTTTGAAGCCTGCTTCTAGACCACTGTGCAGAGAGTGGATGAATATAGCAAGACATGGTGGCAAACAAATTTTTTGCCCGACTCATTTTTAGATGCGTTCATAACTTCATAATTCACATTCACTTTTTGTTATTTTACTACACTGGGCCCGATATGGCATGTATTAAGTATTTTCAAATTGTTATGTTTGAATGTTTTACTTTTGATTTGATTAATGTTTTGTATCACACATAATCACAGGTTCACAATAGTCACCGCAATGGCTTCCGATTGCTGTTGCCACAACGAGATCAAGAAGTAAACAATACCCCCGTTCCAAGGAATACCAGCTGTTACATGTTAGATTGGGATTCAGTCACTATATTAAGGTAAATGAGTTTGATCAAATTTCGGTTATCTCAAATTTTAGCAATTATTTTCAGATGACAAGACAATTTTTACAGACAACCTTATAAATTTTGTCTAAACTATAAACTAGATACAGGCTTGTTAATCATAAAATAGCTTACTATATTACTTACGAAATTGACACTCATTTAGTTGAGGTCAAATTTGCTATCATGGTCATACATAACTTACGGACACAAAAGACTAATGATATGCAAACAACGGCACAGCTCATTTAGATTGGTTGCTGTAATCTTTGGCGTCTTGAAATTTCATAACTGATATCGAAGATATTGTTAAATGAATGTGTATGAAATTTATCAGGCCTTTTTATATTTACATCCAGTAGAGACGTCTTGGACAATGTCCGAGACGTAAGTGGGAGCGAGCGCCTTAGTTTCTTTGAAAACCAATTTTGAGCATAAAATGAGCAGAGAAGAATCGTATTTTGACAAAAATTGAACAATGATTATTTGGGGTTGTGTTTTAAGACATGAGGTTCCTTTATAGATATTATTTGTAGAATATATGTGATTTAGTATCAGTAATTTTATGATAAATATACATATATACACTCCCACGTGTCCATTTTAGATGTAACTCCATTACAATAAACGTATAAAGTTAATCGTTTTATTTTTACCTCTATCATTAAGGTTATTCTAAGAAATTACAAACCCCTTCCTGCTTTCAAATAAAGTCTAAGAAACCTTTTGTTATGGCAACATGCATCCCTGCTTGGTGTTGCTGGGATTGGTAATCCCTTATATTAGTGAATCCTGTTGCAATTGTCAAATACCATATACCAAGAATGCAGCTCCTGTACTGACATTGTTGTATCTGCTATCATTATAATTATTGAAAATGATTCGTATCATTTCAGAAAAGACAAATTAAAATTCCTATTAAACATTTGAATAGCATATCTTTGCATACTATAGTCAATTAGATTAACTTACCTCAGACGTTGTAGCAGGTGTTAGCAGAGCACATTACTATAACATACATCAGCAGAGCGCATTATCATAACATACGTTAGTAGGTAGGGCACATTACCATAACATATGTTAGCATAGCGCGTTATCTCACATTAGCAGAGCAAGTTAGTGTACATTATCAGAGCACAATAGCACACATTAGCATTACACTGTAGCACGCTTTAGCCTTGCATATTGCTACACGTTCTCATACTGTCAATGTGTCCAATAGGTATATATATATTTAGTTTGTTGTTCGCCTGTTATGTCACTGATCTCGGTGATGTCACAGGCATTAACCAATCACCAAAATGCGATCAAACCAATCCGTCATGGGAATGACTGGATTGTTTACGTATCTCAATCTACGTGACGTAATAAGAAAGCTGAACTGAAAGACAGAAATCCTCGTGGGTCAACCTAATAAAGTTCAACAATATATATATATACACATGCGAAAATGAAGCTGACACAAAATTAAAATTAAAAGTAAATTCTTACAATGCTTGTAACAGCGTATTGTAAATAAATATCTTCATGTTAATTAGGTCATGATTGGTTTGGATATGAAATAGTTATACGTGCCAAGTTTCATGAAAAAATCTGGCATGACAGTAAAAAGTCTTCCAGTGCATACAGTAGGATATTGTCAATAAATAGATACGTATTTACTTATGTCAAGATCAATTCAGATTTGAAGATCTTAGCGGGAAAAAGTGCAAAAAATTATCATTTAGCACATTTATTAAAATTAAAGTAGAAACAGAAATACCTGGTCATGCTCGCACGAGGGCATTATGAGTGAATAATTTTGTTTTTAATTTGGTTATTATCACTTAGTTTTGATTTCATAAACTTATGCGTGGAAAAAGTGCTATGAAACTTACTTCTGTAAATTTGCTTTAAAATATTGTACACGGTGTCGAATCAATATGTCAATTGCAAAAAAATCCCTCAATGAAGAGTTTGCTCTAAATTAGGAATTGAATTGAAAACAAAATCCAGAGTATAGCAGATGCGGATTAGAAAGGAATGAACGTCTCTGGCTCTCTGCTATGACAAACTAGAGCATCTATTTCGAAAGCATTGAACGAACTCAACTTCTAAATCTGATCTTTGAATGTGAAGTTTTGAACGAGTTATGAGTGTTGTTGTTGCCAGACGTATGTGAACTGGCGCCACGTGTGGTTGTGAAAATTTTGAAGCAATGCATATGCTTAATTTGCATTCAGAAATTGTATGATTACCCTAGAAAAAAATATGTTCTTGATTGCCACTATGTAGCAAGATCTTTGGCGACGCTTCAGTAGCCAAATTTTTGCCTTCAGAAGATCTTGCCGACACATTTAGATTGAAATTCTTGCATTTAATATAATTCTCAGTCTTCGGCCAACTATTTAGAAAAAAAGTAAGGTTTCCGGTATGTTGGTTGTATTACGATGCAGCGAAGCTTGTCCGGAAATCAGTTGCGATGAGTTCCCGCAAAAAATATAAACAACATTTTTTCGATTGCGTAGTTTTGGTCACATTAGAGCGGTCAGACTGCTTTATTACATGTTCAGTTGACACTTGCTGTACAATCGGACTGTTTTTAGGGTAAAATTAGTTATGTGGGGTAACACGTGCCTGCAACCTTTTAAATAAGTTTGTGGCTTGTAAATAGTTCGTCATTACTCAGCGTAAATGGCTTTTCATTAAAAATTACCCGGCGACGCATCTTTAAAATGGCCGGCGACGCTTTGGGCTTAAAAATCCGTATATTGGCGACACTGCATCCACCCTCTGCATAGTGGCTTCTAGATCATTAATGTTTTTATATACATCCTCGTATTGTTAGGGACGCTCGCCTCTTCCGTCAGATCTCAAAATGTAAAAGTTTAATAGATACCGTACAGATTTGTAATGACTAATGCCATTCAATATTGTTAGCTACATTAAAATGAGGGTGATACATAGGAATGGCAATGATTAATTTATCTGAAGCAACCTTTACAAAATTAGCATCAAACAAGCAAACAGATGTCATGTCAACCGGCACTCAAACATCACAGCATAGAGTATTTTATGCAGCTACTGAATTTTGCAAACTTTGCTGGAAGTGAGATTATTGAATTTTAGAAAAAAGGCGGGATAATTCAATGAAGGGTGGTAGCAGAACTGCAATCTTGATACTCTATGGCGATTTGCTCTATGATAACCTACATAACAATTTTCATATGATAGTTATAATTTTTGCACATTCAAAGTACACATGACATAGCATAAAGCACCCAGATTTGGAAACCATAATTGCTCAAATGAAGCAAAAATAAACAACAGACCATTGACTTATCTTGCAAATATATATTCATATTTTGTATCACATAGTTTAATTACGCTCTGTAATTATGCCGTATTGACCTAATTTGTATAGTCCATTTAAGCGCATTGTTATTCGGTATTGATTGTGTCAATTTTGCCGGCCAGGAGGATGTCGGGAATGTAGCCCCAACATTGGCATGCAGGATCGTACTGTTGACATACAGGTTCATACCCTACTTGCTGCAACCAGTCCAGTCATTCATTAGAAGGCACCGATGGCACATCTAAAGCCATGTTGCCTTCTTTAGTTTTGTAATTCATGTCTGATTGAATTGTGATCTATGAATGAATATTCATAACTGTGCTGACTCTTAGAACCTGAGTTGACGCATTAGCAATCTAGTTAACTCATATCCAACCACAACACAATGCGGATACACGTTTTTTGTGTACGGTCAGCGTGATTGCGTAATTTGCATTGCCGCACATCCATATTTAAACTATTTTAGCCTTCTAAAAGTACAGCGCACGGTGCATTTTTTTACCAACATAGTACGGCCCACCGCGCAGGTCGTTAAAATGACAAAATAAATTCCCGCGCACCTGGCACATCTTCCTGACCATGGCGTTGCAAATTGCAATTTGCCAAGATATGGTTTTTTAGCCCAAAGTGCACTGGCCATTTTCAAGATTTGTCCCTGGGTAATTTTTAATAAGAAAGTGCTGCAAGCAACTTTGATAGTATATCCTTTACCATCCATCATCCATGCACCGCAACACTCACACAACCTCACAACGCATCTGATTTCCAGACAAGCTTCACTACATTCTGATTCTTCCGGCGTACCAGAAACCTTACTGACAAGTTACTGTGTGTGCTTGTGGCTTTTCAGATTTCCAGTAATTTCAAAGTTATTTCTCATATGCAATAATTTCAATCCAAACAGGCATGGAATATATCTACTTGGCAAGCTGCGATTGAATATTTTGAGCCGTGATTTTATGGATTTGCCAGCTGAAAAATTTTATGAAGTGACATGTTTGCGAAGTGCAAACCATGATTTTTCAATCAAACAAAAATTTATGACATTCGTGCCGCGAGATTTCATACCTACTGAAATTATATGATATTAGAGCCACAATATTTCAGACAAAAATAGGACTTTTCCAGCCCTGAATCCAAATGTGCCGGCAAGATGATTACCTATCTCATGGCTCTAAAAATGACAGGGCAGCTCTAGTTTTGGCTTACAAGGTAGATATATTCCAGGCCAGACTCACAGTATGGACATTTATGCATACTTTTTATATTTAAACAAGCATAAGGCTTACCTATTAGAATTTGGCTCATCATAAATTAATAACCAAGATTAACATTTTTCTAATTATTAAGTTAATACAGAAATCACAAGGCTCTAAAGTTATATGTTTCCAAGCAATTTGGAATCTAACAGCTCAATCCCAAATTGGATTATCTGTCCTTATGAGGCAAAATTTTCCAAAAATTGTAGATAAAAGCTATCATTTTACAGTAATTTTTGAATAATAGTAGGCAAGATCCATATAAATTGTAAAGAGCTCTAATTAACTGCAATCACAGACATTTTTTTTTTGATGGGGTGTGCCAAATCTTCCAGAATGGGCTTCTCAATCTAGGGCTAATGCTAACAATCAGACCTGATTGGAAATTACACTTCACTGTCAGATTTACTTAACTTTCAATCATGCAGGGCATCAAGCTTCAGCACACAATGGATTTGAGAGGAATATCTTACCATGAAATTAGTTCATTTCCCTGAATTTACTTTATTCATTTATGAGAACTTGAATATTTGCTGCATGCTGTGTCCTACTTGTCCTATTATCAGGCATTTTTGTGTTTTTTTACGTAAATTATTTGCGTTTTGCATTTCATTCAGTTATTAGAAACTGTTTTTTATTGTAAAATCAATATATAACCTTGAATTAGTTGTAAAGCTATATTTAAATTTTTATTGACCCTGTTCACCGTGCTCATCATAGCAGTAAATATCTTATCTTTTCTTATCAATCTCCTATCTTATTCCTGCTTTTGATGTGTTGAGCTGACAACGCAATGATTGATTTTATTATCACAAATACTTTGGGTACCTAGTAGAACATTTTATGCTATTTTCAAAATAAATTTCATTAATGTAGAATCTTTGGTTACAATACAGGATCTAAATATACAATCTACATTCACAATCCTGTTGCTTTTGCAATGAATTCAATTTTCTGCTTGATCTGACTCCAATTGATCTCAATATAATAATTAGTCGTCATGGATAAAAAACTGACTTACACTAATTATTAACTTCAGTTTCTTCAGTTTCTCAAGCACCACCAAAACTTGACTTTCAAATTTATTATTGTATAAAAATTCATCAATTTTTGACACCATGATAATCTATTCAGACTTGCAAGAAGAACTCCTGATGGCAATGAAGGCATAAGCTATAAAAACGTATTGGAAACAAAAATTAAGAGTTCATTACAAAATTATCACTAGAAAAAAATAATCTATGTTGAAAATGTGCTTGCAATCCCCGAAAAAATGATAGCTTGTGAAATGCACAACTATTAAACAGATGTATTGACCAATGGACAATGGTTATATTATGTAATCTAGTATGTTATGGTACTTTTAGTATAGACTGAACTTTTATATCATTTTTATGTTGCACTTTTCCTACTGGAGGACTTTTCATCTAGCAAACTGTTGAAAAACTTAACAGTATTGCCACAAAAATTTCACAATACATATAACTTATGATTATAATGCCGTAATATTTTAGTATAAAGTTTGCAGTTATCCCACTATCATTTATTAGGCTGGTCCCTAAAGGTATGAGCTTAAAATGTGTAACCTGTAGTCTAATTTTTGCAAAATTTTGTGCAGAAGCCAGACAAGAAAGATGTCCATCAAAGGACAGGTGTTAATTAAAGCCATGCAGGAGCACCCCATGCTGCACGTGTCCCTCCTGGTGTCCCAGCTCACGGCCAAGGACATCAACAGGAGGTTCTGCTCGGAGAACGGACTCAACCCACGAGCAGTGTATCAATACCAGGCTATGTTGCGTCAGCTTGAGCCTCAGCAGCCTTTGCTGCACAACACCAGAGGTGAGCAGTATACTAATACTTTGCTTTCTTGTATGTAAACAAGTATTACCACCAAAATTTCAATATTTAATGATTCTTCTAACTTGAAAATGAATGTTTGTTGCATTCAAAACATTATTAATAAACAAAATCTACTTCCTGAAACATGCCTTTCAATCTGCCATCATCTGAAGAATTGTTCCACTCCCTGATAATTTAAATCCAAATTCTCTGGGCCTATACTTGAAAAAAAATTTGGAGATCGTAAGTTCATCAGCCAATCATTGACTGCCTTTCGAGCAAAATCCACCAATCATAGTCAAGAAAATAGAGCTTAAGTACTTACGTTCACTTTTTGAAAGTATGGCCCCAGGTCATCAATCGCACATGTATAAACAAGCAAATTCTGCCATATAATACTAAGTAAATAAATATGTATATATGCTTCTCTTATATTGCTGCCCTCTATACAGTAAGAGACTTTTCTGTTGAGTAATATGTGACTGGGCAGAAATTTATATTGTTTTTAAATTATATAAAAGACAATGTTGATTTTTGTGTTGCCCCAAAGTTATTATTATGTCTCCTTTGACAGGCATTGACTGGAGTACAGTAATATATCACTGGTGTGTTATGATGATAGGCAAGCCAGGCATCATTCCTGGAAATCATTTATAGTTACAGTAGAAATAATTTGTAATATTATATAAACTCATTATCTAGAAATTTTGCTTGTCCATTTCATTGATGTAGGAGTTAATATCCCAGGCATTTTCAAGTTTTCATAGCTTTTTAGTTTTACTAAATTTGGCTGTGCTCCTCATATCAATTTTTATTTTGATATGTTTTGAACTTATAAGAAAACCATTACATGTTAGTAGAAGGCAATAAATACCACTAGAAACTGTTTAGATATTTTTTATATTCATCTGTTGTTTATGTATTTTGTTTTTGTTAAAAATTCAGTTAATGCAATTCTTGTAATTGATGATATTCATGAAACTTTATGAAATCAAGAGATTCATCTGATTTTGTCAGCTTCCATCTGCATATTTTTGGCTAACAGCTTAACTGCTCCTGCTAATGGCTTGTAACTCTACAGGTATCAAGTCCAGGCGGAAGTCTTTTGTATGCACTAAAGCACAAGGACCAAAAAGGCTTATTAACCCTTTGGCAAAACCTTGCCCCTTGAGGAAAAAAATGACTGTGGGTAAACCAGAAGAACCAAAGTCTTGTAGGAAATCATTCAAAGCGACAGGCAAACCGGGACCAAAAATATCCAAAGTTTTTTCAAGGCCTTGCCCTCTGAGCAAAAAAGTTGCTGTGGTGCGGCCTGCTTCTCCCCCGCCTGAGGTGAAGGTGGAGCCGGAGGAGTTGTCGGGCTCACAGGTCAGTTAATTCACCTTTTTCCGTTCTTTAGAAAAAAATTACTCTGAAATTATTTTATAATAGCTCTTGTGTATCATAATTTTAATTTGAAATTGGATAAATATTCACACTGTTTTTTATCCAGTCATTGTTAACCTGACTGCAATGTTCCAATGTTCTAAGAATATTTGCATATGGAATATGAAGCAGACAACCTACAGCACTGGTTATAATACTACAGAAACTACACTTAGAAAAATTATTGGGTCATGTTGTGCAAAATTGTCTGCATTACATGGAGACAATGTCTGCACGTAATGCTGGTGCATGTAATGCAGCACTGATACATGCTTTTGTTTTTGTGCAAAGCTGTGTCAGAATGACCCACTCTAAGACAAAATAAGCATCGTTATTTGGACACAGTTTACCCATTTCTGTGAACACATGTAGGGACATCGATATTCGTTATTTATTTTATTGTTCATTTTTTCCTCAAATAGTCAGCAGTCTAACAACCATCCGAACTTCTTAGAGATTGACTTTTTCTTACTTCGTAAATTCAGTTACTAGTCATTTCATTTTCATTTTTAGTTTTTTTTTTTTTTTCATTTTTAGTCATTTAACCTCACTGGGGGATAAATATCTGACAGCATATGATATGAATGTCATGTCATCATGTGATGATGCATGAATTATGTGTAATATAGACATGTGAAGTTCATCATGTAATGAACCAATATTTTGCTGAATATCTTTATGAAGAATATTACAATATTTTACTCTTCCAGGACGATGAGGGCGGCCTGCCGTGTGGGGAGGACGACCCACAGCATCTGGTGGAGTGCAAGAGTGAAGCTGGTGAGTGATGGTGATGTAGGGTGATGGTGGAGTGCAAAGTGCTGGTGGAGGGTGATGGTGTCGTGATGCGATGCTGCTGTCCGTAGAAGGCCTTCACACGACATTTACTCAGTAAGACTAATAATATTCACCTCAGTAACTGTAATTACTCAGTAAAAGTTCAGCAGTCTAGTCAGGTAAAGCAGGGCTTGGCAGCGCTGACTGGACCAGGTAACAAGGCTGTGCTTTAAAGCATCTCTTATTGGGCTCCTGCAATTGTCTCATAATCATTGGTTCTGCGTGGTTATGATTATTCTGTGTGTCACTGAGGTGTAAACGCTTGCTCTTTGACTTTGTTTACTTGTTATCAAGTTACTGTTGTTATCATGGCTGGTGTTGATGTTTTTATTAAGTGGTTTTTGTTTACAGAGGATGATGCCATACAGCAGCCGACGGGACAGTCCAGCCAAGGGTTGCCGCAAGAAGGCCCCGACCACCTGGACCATTACACTCAGAAAGTCAAGTGGATGTTGCTACGCCCTCTCCAGGCTGATTCCTGTCCCTCCTCGTCTGCCGAGCCTTCGGCGCCCGCCGGTGCAAACGGATCACTTGCAACGTCCAACACTCCAGTCACTTCTGCCAGGAAAATTAAAGGGAAAACTGCTAGAAACACAAAAATAAGGAAAAAAACATCTAAAGCTTCTGCTGCTTCTGACATTTCTGATGTCACCGGGACATACCCCACAGTCGCCGACAACATCATGGATGTTGACAAATCTCCAGAAGATTTCTGTGAGGTCAAGATGGAGGTGCAGGAGGAGCTGAGCTGCAGCGAGTGCAGCTTCAAGTGCTACCACCACGAGATACTGACGAAGCATGTGAACGATACCCACAGGTGCAACTACAAGGGCGTCATCAAATGTGGGCTCTCCCTCAAGAAGCTCGGCCTCATCAAGCTCACGACTTTCACCAAGAAGATCTCCCGCGCACCTGATGATGTTCCTGGTGACCAGGATCTGCCTCAGTCCCCTCCAGACAGTGAAGGAGGGGAGGAAGAAAAGGATCATGAAGGGTATGAAGAAGAGAATGAAGGGTATAAAGAAGAGAATACTGAAGGAGATGATGATGAAATGAATGGAGTAGACGATGAAGAACAAGACTGTATTAAAGATGAGCTTGATAAGTTGCAGGGAGAAGAGGTACAAAGCGATAGAAAAGAACATATTCATGTAAAGCGGCGTTTAAAAGAACAAGAAAAGATAGTTGCGAAGTACAAAAGAAAGGAGATTCTGGATGACGGAATGTTTGACCCGAATACAGTTCTGCCTGACTCGTCTCCAGAAGTAAAGAGTTCTGTCACGGCAAGCGAACGGCCATTAGAAAGCAGTAAGCCTACGGACAATGAGGAGCTTAAAGCGGATCAAAATGCATCTGTTTCTGCCATGTTGAGCCGTCAATCTCTGCCATGGCCGGATGAGGTGGCCGTTGACAGGCTGGTATGGAAGGCAGGACAGCGTCAGTGTGTGTACTGCACTCACGTGGCGCGGAGTGGCGCTATGTTGCTCGCCCACTACACGCAAGTGCACGAGTGTAGCAAGCTGTACCAGTGCAGCAGGTGCAGCTTCGCCACCAACTACAAGAACTGCCTCAAGAACCACATCGCGTGGCGACATTCGAACTGCAAGCCACACGCGTGTTCGTTGTGCAACTATCGTACTGCAGTTAAGCACCAGCTGCGGCAACACATTCGTGTCACGCACGCCACAGACAAGAAGCACGAGTGTCCACACTGTGAGTTCGTGACGCAGTACAAAGGGGCTCTGAATGACCACATCACCGGCCAGCATACCAAAGAACGCAAGTATAAGTGTTCCCTCTGTCCGTATGCGAGTATCCGGGGAGACCAAGTGCGTAAGCACTTTGCCACAAGACATGGCATCCCAAGACCTAAAAAAGAAGGTCCTCTGAGGAAATGTCCCTTGTGTCCCTACACAGCGTACACCCAGGGTTCTATCTACCAGCACAACCTAAGATACCACGAAGTAGTTATGCACAAATGTCCCATGTGCCCCTACGAGAGCTGTGAGAAGGCGCGTCTCAAACGGCACATCGCGTGCCGGCATTGCGATGAACGTCCATTTAAGTGCACCCAGTGCCCCTACGCTGCCAAGCTCAAGGACAGGCTCGTGGTGCATGTTCAGAACCAGCACCTGGAGCGTCCCCTACACACGTGCCCTCTGTGTGACTACGGGGCGAGGGCGCGCTTCAAGTGCAGGGTGCACTTCATCGCCAAGCATCCCGACCACAACGTCGAGGAATATTTCCCCAGCAAAGAACATTGGCAGCAAAACGCTGACCAACCGCATGAGCCAAGTGATGAATAACAAGAGTTTAGCTCTCAACCAACCACGTCACCTTAGCAGCCAACAACATGAGCTTAGCAGCCAACAACATTTCACCTGAATTTATTTCGCATTTTGCTGGTAAAATTCTCTTATGTTTTGAATTCAACGTTATTTGCGAATTTTGTTGTAATGGAAAGGAAGCTCGTGACTGTTGTCACGGCGAACTGAGTGCTATAGACGGCACAACGCAGTGTTGCAAATGTCACCAGCTTGCAAAGCGCCATCCTGTTATTTTCAAAAAGTATTAATAGTTGATGCTGTTTATTAGGACGTTTTTTCCTCAAATCGTCTTAGTCGTTTTTCCTCTAGTTTTGAGATTTGGTTTACGTGAAAGATTGTGGACATTTGTAACTGTTCTTATTTTTTAGGTTTTGTTGATACGCCGCCGTTTACGTCATGCAGTTAAAATTAATTAATTGCTAATAATTAACAGGCATTGATCAACTTTATTAAACATTCGTCACAATTAAAAAGATACATTGTTTTCTGGTAGTGTCAGCCGCCCGAGCCAACGCAGTTGATATCGTGTACATGTTAGTGATAACGGAACCTTCTCTGTAATATTATAATGTAATTTAGTTGTAATGGAGCGTATAATACAATTAGACGAAAGACGTTGTTTTTCTTTGTTCATGCCTGACGTATGATGTGAACGTAGCTTGTTGTACCTGTCCGAGTCACGTCTCCATGAATGGAGGTTTTCTGTTGCAGTAAATTTTATTGTAGTGAACTACAAATATTTCTATGTTATTCTTATGAAATTAAAGGGTTATTATTCACGCGCGAAAATGTTGACTTGCGTATCTACAGCAGATGATTGAATAATGTATAGTTAGCTTGATATATAATTTGTTGTTGTGCCCCTTGTAAATTATAGACCGACAAGCAGAGCTAACAAACATACTTACGCACGCGACGTCCACGTGGCACTACGAGACCAGGAATTAGTGGTTAGGATACTTATAAAATTCTATAGGTATTCTATATATTATATTCTTATATATTCTATATAGAATTCTATATAGAATATATTTTCTATGATATAGAAGCATAAAAACGCGGATTAAATTCACGATGTCTTCATCGAATATGTCTTGCAGACCAACTCGATGACCATCATTAATCTCAAATTTTTCGAACCGATGATGGAGCCTGGTTCCGGGACATTTTCAATGAAGATTATGGGAATTTACTCTGCGTTTTCTATGCTCTGAAATTCTTAGTGAACATGTTGCTTATGCATGATAATGATATATATACGTACTTGAATACTTAGTTATGTTCACCTCTTACGGTTGTTCCTGTTTGTTGCGCTGAACTTGATTGCTCGGCCACATCTAGCTGAGGAAGTGTCTAGAGAAGGAGGTATCTAGCTGAGGAGGTGTCTAGAGAAGGAGGTATCTAGCTGAGGAGGTGTCTAGAGAAGGAGGTATCTAGCTGAGGAGGTGTCTAGAGAAGGAGGTATCTAGCTGAGGAGGTGTCTAGAGAAGGAGGTATCTAGCNTGGCTCCTACTACGCTGTCTCTTATACACATCTAGATGTGTATAAGAGACAGCACTAAGGCTGCTGCTACGTGCACTAAGGCTGCTGCTACGTGCACTAAGGCTGCTGCTACGTGCACTAAGGCTGCTGCTACGTGCACTAAGGCTGCTGCTACGTGTACTATGGCTGCTGCTACGTGTACTAAGGCCCATGCTACGTGCACTAAGGCTGCTGCCACGTGTACTAAGGCGCTACGTGTACTAATTATCATCTATCTATTCGTACAACAGACTATACGAAAATAAAAGTTTGGTGTTTAATCGTGATTCTATCCCGTATTTTTTTACTTATGTTACCCTACAATATTACATTGTGCATTGTAGCTAATGACACGTACTAATAAGCCATGAACGGAAAATTATTTTTTTTTTTACCAAGTAATATTTAGATAAAATGTAGTTGAGACTAACTTTCCACTAAAAACAGTGAACTGTCGTCAAAAAAGCTTTTTCTTTGAAATCTGCGGAATACCTCTTCTTGAATTAGGGCCGTTGATTATTTTCTGCAAAAATTTACATCCGTCTTGCATCACTGTACAACGCTTTTAATTTTGTGACTCCAAGAGAGTTACCTCTGCCAGTTGTGTGGCACTGAGTGGTAACGTGACTGACGTGGGTGCTCCTGTGCACTTTATGCTCGCATGACTTAGCAGTCTTAGCGTGTGCTGCTAGGAAGAGAGAATTAAATATATTGTCGCTGGGGGATGTAGGTGCCATGAATTAGAACTTATCGCTCAAAAAGTTTCCTTTAATAAGGCTGAGCACCAGGTTAGCTTCACAAAAATAAGCGTCGCCTCCGTGAACACTTCAAGTTTGCGAATTTAAGTGCATAAGCGCACGCCTGAGTAACAACACGTTATCTTCAGCTCACTTAATGCGACATAATTTCTGCTAAACTTCAACCAAGGTCTGCTTGTCAAGGCCACGCAATGCAAAGTTTCGTTTAAATAATCCTTATTGCGAGAGTACATGTAACGAGCAAAATAATTGGTCGTTCATCCCTTCTTCTTCGCATAGAATAACTGCTTCTTGTCTCGTCACTTGTTAGTTGCCACGTGTTGCATAATTGTCCACTAATAAACATAACTGGGCGAAGTGGAATTTTATATTTATTTAATTTTGACAATCTCCTGAAGCAAGATGAGTAACTTATTCATATTAATCCAAGTAATATAATAAAATACATTTGTATTTTCTCGTATGGTCCACATTTTAGGTCGTATTTGCTCTCATGCAGTACACCTGAGATGAGTCAGTTTTCTCTCTAGTGACATCACAGAAAACGGAACCAATTCTCCCATTCGTAGCTTCTGCACCTGCATATATCTGAACAGAAGCAAATAATGTTTCATTTTCTGTTGCTTTTCAGCGATACTAAAACATTTTGATCGCTGGGACTTTCACACTAACTTTGAATTCTCGTAAGTTACAGCAGACTTAGATAGAACATGTAGGCAGGGTGAAGACGTTTTCAACTTTGTTTTTACGTCACTTGCTCCACGAAAATGTTAATCACATACAGTATATGCATCAAATAAGGACTTCTCATGATTTTTGTTAAAAAGTTTCGATTTTTAAGCATTTTTTAAATAGTATTGATAAATGCTTGAATTTGGATTGTTTACAACCAAGTTTGTGGATGAATTGTTATACTCAAAAATTTATCGTAATGATTTTAAGAAAAAAAATACGGAGAAATTAATATATGCGAAGTGTATATATTTGGTTTTAGACACATACATATTTTGTAATATTTTGGAGCTCGTATGAGTTAATGTCTAGACGAAAGATTAAAAGTACTATGTAATGTCATCAAGGCTAGTATAGCCTAGGAAGTAGGATTCAGTACCTCATGCTGCAGTCCTGAGGATGTCAGCTTACATGTGATTAACATGGACCGACTTCGCGCAACATGCGACCTAAATGCCAGCAGGTTAACCTGGTGTTGACCGAGATAAATAATCCCTGAAATTGTCCGTGTACACACCCACGTCATTCTGATTCATGTCATCCCGAAACCCATCATCTGTAAGGATCAAGCAATTTCTAGTTTACGTTACGGTAATATTTATATTATACGTCATAATCTGAATACATTCCTCGGTCTTTAGCCACGCTTATGGCCGCCAGCGCCATAGGTTAGTAGCTTAATGTGTGCTCTTGATGGGAATTCTTCATTTGCCATACCTGCGATCATTATATTCTGTACAACCTTTGAAACATTTAAGGGGCCAGGCTAATTTATCTCGTGTCCATTCCAGTTCCGGTTGGGGAGACTATCTGATTGATCAGACTTAACAGCAAGACTATCGAGACTACCACAGCCGTTTTTATCGACAGTAGACCTATTCAACTGCCCGGTCTTGCCAGTCGCTGGTGCTTCATCCGTCCGTTGTCAATGATTCTACCGTCAGCCGTCTGTGATTCTGCCGTCAGTCGTTTGTGATTCTACTGTCAGTCGTCTGTGATTCTACCGTCAGTTGTCTGTGATTCTACCGTCAGGGTTCTGCGATTCTACCGTCAATCGTCTGATATTCTACCGTCAGTTGTCTGTGATTCTACCGTCAGTCATCTGCAATTCTACCGTCAGTTGTCTGTGATTCTATCGTCAGGGTTCTGCGATTCTACCGTTAATCGGTCTGCTATTCTACCGTCAGTTGTCTGTGATTCTAGTCGTTCTACCGTCAGTCATCTGGAATTCTACCGTCAATCGTCTGCTATTCTACCGTCAGTTGTCTGTGATTCTAGTCGTTCTACCGTCAGTCTTCTGGAATTTCACCGTCAGTTGTTTGCGATTCTACCGTCAGTCGTCTGTGATTCTACCGTCAGTCGTCAGTGATTAAGGGGGTATCTAGCTGAGGAGGTGTCTAGGGAAGAGGGTATCTAGTTGCGATGTCCGTGAGGTGTTCAAGTGAGGAAGTGTCTATTGAAGAGGGTCTAGGTGAGGAGGTGTCTAGGGAAGAGGGTGAGTTAAAATATACATGGATGAAATCCATAGGGGGATTCGGGTGGTGGGCTAGGTGGACCGCTCTTAGGGAGTTGGGAGGCAATGAAACCCACTGCCTCCATTGGGGTAGTGCCCTCTAGCGAAGGGACGCCAGGGCGGAACTGCTGCAGTTTGTATTTGGTGGATCTTAGCTCCCCAAGAGGGCATGTGATATGCAACTATAATAATGCAAGTAAACAGAGTGATGGTCACAAAGCAGGTGACAGCTGAATGATGTCAGGCGGCGGGAAAGGGCGAGTGGATAAAGACAATTAAAATAAGTAATTCATTTCAAAAATACAATAAGTACAATTAAATACGATTATCACATTCCTTTTACCTGCCTTTGCCTGCGACCAAAAGGCATTCTTAACGACGACTGCGCGGGCGAATGCCTTCAGCTGCGCTGTTGTTTTTGGTAGCTTGAAGGTGAGGAAGTAGCCTGTAGCCGCAGGATGACTACTTGTTACACCTGGACTCAGCAGAATTTACTTGGGAAGTTTCGATATTATTTCACTGATTCTTGAAGATTTTATCCGGTGGGGATCTCACACCAAGATGCTTCAGCTAACTAAATGACATCAATACCTTCTGTTGAAATGTGAAAAATAATCTATTCCAAAAGGTCTAATTGCCATTTTTTTCTCATTGTTATCGATAGATTCGGGTCATTACTTAGTTATGTTGATTTTAATGTATGTAAGGTAATAATGGTAATGTATATATATAGATAATGATGATTTAGTCAGATAATAAAATCTGCAGTGGGAAAATAATTCATCTAGGGCAAAGTTTTGAGCGACGTACCGGGTTGCCTGCTAGAGTATATACCTAAAGGGGCGGGCATGGCATAAGCACATTTTAGCTCAGTCTGCGAGCAGCTAGCATGTGGAGTGGGTGCGTTCGTTTGGCACAGCGGCACAGATCTGTTAGGTAAACCGCTCGAGAAGTGAAATAGGAAAGCTAGCACTAGTTTAGATTACAGCCACACTGAATAGAGCATGTGAAGTTTTAACTACTACTTCGGAGAGCCGTCCTGTATTTTTCTGCTGTAGAAACGACCAACCGTAATCCAAAAACCCCGAGTTCATTAGTTAATCCCCATGAATGCTACGACGTTAGTGAACAACGGACTGAATAATCTAAAAGGAAACCACATGCGAGTTTGAACATTTGTCAGAATCTTACAAAGTTGTCCGTCTTTATGAACTATAGTCGCACGAAAGTTCCTGTTTGGTAGAATTACGGTGGCACGAAGGTTCCTGTCTGGTAGCACTACGGGCGCACGAAGTTTCCTGTCTGGTAGAATTACAATGGCACGAAGGTTCCTGTCTGGTAGCACTACGGGCGCACGAAGTTTCCTGTCTGGTAGAATTACAATGGCACGAAGGTTCCTGTCTGGTAGCACTACGGGCGCACGAAGTTTCCTGTCTGGTAGAATTACAATGGCACGAAGGTTCCTGTCTGGTAGCACTACGGGCGCACGAAGTTTCCTGTCTGGTAGAATTACGGTCGCACTCGCAGCACCGCGCATCGACATCAGTCCAGCTTAGGGCTGCACACTTCTTTCTTAAAAGCCGGTGATGTACTCCTAGCTTAAACATGTCCTTATTGCCATCTCCAATATTCACGTTACGGCACTTTTACAGTTTTAGTCATAAAGTAGTCTGTACTGAGCCAAACCTTATTACAACAGTATTATTCCTGCAATAAATGTTTGTGAAGTAATTCCATATATGCTGATATTTCTGTCAGAGACCTGTATCATAAATACTCCTAGGAATGTATTCAGATCTAGATTTGTGTTGTTTCACAAACTCCTAATGTGTGCCGGCACTGTCGGGAAACTAATCACAATCGCGCCGTGTAGACCCAAATGCCGTGCTATCATAATAGCTGAAAGTTCATAATTTGTTAGCCAATCACTGATGGCTTTCCAAGCAAGACCCGCCAATCACACACGATAATTTGGAGCTGCATACTTAGGCCGATGCTACGTGTATTTAGAGTTTGGACCGATGTTATGTGTAATATGGCCCATGCTACGTGTATGTGTAGCGGATCTCGCTACATAGCACTAATATTATGCATAACATATCACTAATTCTTATATTTTTCATACTAACATAATATAACTAATTTTTATGTTTCTTATACTAACATTAATATTAACACTCACAATACACATTAAAGTCGTACATTTTAAATCATATTAAATAATTATAACATCATCACGAGTTTACTTTGGCTCCTACTACGTTTACTTTGGCTCCTACTACGTTTACTTTGGCTCCTACCACGTTTACTTTGGCTCATACTACGTTTACTTTGGCTCCTACTACGTTTACTTTGGCTCCTACTACGTTTACTTTGGCTCCTACTACGTTTACTTTGGCTCCTACTACGTGTATGGTCATTATACGTGTACCTAACTAGACTGCTGTTACGCGTACCTAGACTGCTAATACACGGACTTAGGCATCTGCTACGTAGACTTAGGATGCTGTCACGTGGATATGTGCTATTGCAAATATCCGATATCATCTTCAAACTCAGCTTCTGTAATAATATCGGAATCTTCCCCCTTCTATTTTCCCTGTTTTTTTCCGTAAACTTGCTCATCAGTGGCCTCAATATATTACAGCATAATTACAAATCATTAAGATGGGTAATGATCTCGGGTGTGCCGAGTGGGTAAGATCACCAAAATTTGAGTATCGAGGTGAGATTGAAAGTTCCAAAACAGCACGTAGTTTTAAAAGCTTTTGGCCAAGTTTTTTATTTTTCCGCAAACATGGATCATGCTCAAGTCTGCAAATGTCACAAAGAAGGGTAGTTTTCATTTTATGGAAAATTAAGGTGAAGGTTGAGTGTTAAGTGAAAATCCTACTGTTGAAAGTATTCCGACATCATTACAAAAGCTTAGTGAAAGTTTAGATTAGCTAAGCTGTTACCCTTACCCTGATAGCCACTTAGCCAGTTGCCACGTGACTGCCAACTTGCCAAGTGCCAACCGCTGTCACTGTGCCATGTTGAAATCTTTTTCCCAAATAATGAAAAGATTTCATTAGTAGTTAGCCGAGTTACTCAAGTAGTTGAGTACTACACCTAGTACACAAGGCCCTACTCCCTAGGGTTAGTATTTAGTAGGGTAGTTTCCATGGTGTCATTCTATAGTAATTATATAAGAACATGAGCTTTAGGCTAATTGCACCGCAACGAAAATGTCGGACCGCCGCAACACGTGTCACACCTCACCTCTCGACGATATGTTCATGACTGTCGGAATCCAAATGTAAACAAAGCCAGCTGATTAGCAGAGCGAGCGCTGATTGGTCACCACTCAGCAGCCAACTGCCTTCTGTATTTGAACTGTCGGGTTCCCTGAGACCAAGGACGAATGTCATTTTTTCGCAATAAATTAAAGAAAATTCATACATATGTATTCATACATAGCTTAAAAAATAGAGAAAAAAATAACAAAAATGATGATAACAAATTTACCCTACTTTACGCCTGAAATAAGTCAAAATTCTCGAAAAATCATAATAAGGAAATACATGGTAATATCTTTTACTAAATACTGCATAGTAATACTGATGAAGACATTGGTACAATGCTAAATATATGCGTGCCTACTTGCTAATACCAAGTAGTAGCAACTAGTGCATCGGCAGTCATTTTTATTGGTATATTTGTATACATTTGTACGCGTTAAAGAGCAATAGTACGTTCAAATTTTAAATTAAATTTGATTCGAAGACCACCCAACATTTGGAAGTCGGAACGCAAGCTTAAGTCAGTTAGTCCTTAAAAAAAACACAGAAAACTGGATACACTTTAAATTCCTAAAACTTTCGTCTATTATATTATTTATCCAAAAACTGTCATGAAATTAAGCTAAAATCATATAAACGATCATTTTTAGTAATTTTCGTGCAAAATAATGATGCACATGAAAAGAAGTTTAGGTAGGTTATGTATAGACTATTCGAGCTGAAGTCGAAGCCAGTAGGTAAATGTATTCGATTCCAAGTAAACCTAGATCATCAAAAAAAATTACGGGAAAATTATTCCTAAAATTGTATTATTAAAATGCTCTTTTGAAGGATTAATTGCTCAATTAAAAAGATGTACATTTTTTCATATAAATAAGTAAGTTATATTCAAATTTATTATCATTAAATTTCGCTCAACACAACAAGCTCAAGCCGTGACAGAGAGTTTGAATAAGATAAGGAGTTCTATGCTTCCCGCTTTCCTGTCGACATCCATCATACGTTAAACAGCCTTAGAGACTAGAGGCAGTGTCACGTTCTACTGAGCCTTCTCAAGTTCTCGAATCTTGTGCAATCTATATTTCCTGTGTTTAATAATGACTGTTTTTGTTGATTCCAACGGGCAACAGCTTGCCGAATTTGCAGTAAGTACTAATTATAAATTTGAATTTCTTTCATTTCCATAACAAAAATGTATCGTGCATGATTTCGTCATTAAAGTAAAATAAAAATATGTTATATGTGTAAGAATCGCAATTACGATTGATCTGATGTTGGTTGATAGTTCATCGTGCATTGGACAGCCAGCAGCTGAGCAGCAGCAAGAGCGTTTACTTAAATCAGAGCTATGAAAAAGATGGCGTCGTCATGGCGACCCTTGGCGCTTAGCCTTCTTGCAGTTCTTAGCCATTTTGTCATTTTCGTGTACGGTGTAAAAATAGGAATCCATTTCACTTTCATTGCCCCAAAAAAATGTCCATTTAATAAAAACGATCATGAAGAAGGATTTTTAATTATTGTAAAATTATAGAGCTAATTTTTTGTTACCATTTAAATTTTAAATGGCTGGGCTCAGCCTGGGCCCGCTGCCGGTGCCGGTTGGCGGCTGCCGACGCCGAGTGCCGGGCCGGGCCAGCATGGCATGAGGCTTGATTATTTGATATTTGATTAAATTGATAATTGATTTTCTTGATCCTTTTTCTGTTTTTCAATTGCATCATAATTTTAAATCTCTAATGACACTAAATCTGTCTTACTAAGTTAGTAAGATAATCAATTGTGTATTTTGAAATAATTAATCTTAATTCTTAATTGAAAAATATTTCTTTGAGACTTTGAGTTAGACTTTGTGTTTCAGCCTGGCAGCCATGGCAATTTCCATTTACAAAGATGTTCATTCTTAATCCTTTGTTTGTTCCTCACTCCTCAGGGCTCAGGTCATCTCTCTTCTTCTAAAGGCTAAAGCTGTTGCTGTAGCCTGTACATCATGGCTACTCCTACTCATCCCATACTTAAGTTTGCCTACAAAAATGTTACTACTTACTAGTCTAGAATAGAATCAGTAGATCGTGTTTCATTCAATGCTAAATGTAACTTTTGTAAGTTTGCTAATGTGAAAAGTGTGATATTAATATGTTGACATGCTATGTCAAACTATGTATTATGTGGTTATTGACATAACTCTTTTGCAGGTGAGGCGCAGGCAAGAGGAGTTACACCGTAGGCAAGAGGTCGCTCGTCTCATTGCCGTCATTGAAGAATAAAGGTGCGCGCGGCAACTTTCACGCACGGCAACTCGATCGTCAAGCTTCACAAGTACCTGCAACGTGCATCTAGCCAGCAATGAGGTAAAATGTAATTGGTTTGCAATGAAATAGCGATATGCTGCGTTAGTTTAAAGATTACGTTGTTACATAATGCAAATTGTATGGGTATTACTTTAGATTAAGCGCATCCAAAAAAAGGTGTTTTTTTAAGTATATGTTTTGTGGGATGTAGATTAAGAATCAGAAATCCATTTTGGCCGTTCCAATTTTTCCCGGATTTTTTAGATATTTTCTATAGAAAACAACAATGGGGACCCGTGGGGATCCGGGGGTTTTAGGGGGGGACACGCCCGAGGCTCTAATTTGTCAAAAATTGGCAAAGTCGGCGAAAAATTGGAAAATTTTACTGGAAATGATCTATATCGATCTGGGAATGACTGTAAAACTAATGTAAAACCCAAAAATCGCGCTAGGTTAGGTTAGGATGTAGGCTGCTATTCCGCACCACCCAGGAGGTTGCAGCTTAGGCGCGTTAAGGCTTTAATTTATATACCACGGGCCTTTCCCCAAGAGGCCTATGACCGTGGTTAGCTTTGCGAGAGTTAGTTTACTTACCTTAACCAATACATAAATTTAGCGTCAGTCAGTCGTTAGTTTTGTTCGTCTTCACATTCAGGATCTAGTGGTTGTGGATCTGGTCTAATCTTATTACCGTCGTGTGGGTACATCTTTGCAGAAGTGAGGAGAAATTCATGAAATTTGGCTTCAGTCACCGTCTTGCAAAAGACATACATGGCGATGTACTTTTTGACGTGATAGAACACCATACCAGGCTTTTTAACCACTCCTTTACGTCGCGCCAGAGCCGTTATCGGTTTTCCAATGCCGACGGTCAAAAACGGATTTCACATTCTTTAGCTACACCCCCAAAAACATATAATTAAAGAAACCTTTTTTTGGATGCACTTGATCTGATGTTTTACCATTGTATGAATTAGTTTATTATGAAAGCCGACTCTTGCAGGTGAGGTGCAGGCAAGAGGACCCCCCCGGCTCGATGCGGACCGCGCGCGCCCCGACCCGGACCGCTAGGTACCTCCAGGGCTAGAATTCCACCATGGATAGCATTGTCCATTGTGCAATAGTGGATTCTACATTAACCTCTATTCATCTAGTGATTCAAGCTTATGTATTAATTGTACATTGTTTTAATTACATTAATTGACCATAAAATTTCTAATTTATCAATGACAGAGGCACTAGCAAGGCGGCCAAGGCCTGGTTGTATTTAGTTGCCATACCTGCAAATTTGATGCCCTGCAGTAATATTTTTATTGGCAGGTGTGGAAAATATATACCGTCAACCGGTGCTACTCGGGACGATTTCTAACGTTTTTCATTCATAACTTCTTACCATGAAACATTTCATAAACAAGTTTAGGCTCATTTCAAAGCTCTTTGCAAGGGCTATCGCATGGCTTCTCCAAAAAATTCCATATGCTATTCGTAAGGTGCCAGAAGCAAAAAAAAGTGTCCTGCCTGAGCTTAGTGGCAAAGCAGAGATTTTTTTAGACTCTCCTTCAAGTTCAATTTTGTGTCCTATAAGTAGACCAGCAAAGTATCATGGATACCAGCATCATCGTACTTAAGTTATTAGTTTAAATCTTGAGTAAATGAGAAAATTAAAAATGAACTGATTCTAAAAAATTGCTAGTTTGCCACTATGCGGCACTCCTGAGTATCCCCGTCGAACGGGGCTACTCGGGACACTTGGAATAAAACTTCATTTTAAAACATTTGAAGCATGCAGAGGGTACTCATCCATTACTAACAGTACTCTGAAGTCCTCCTCTTTCATTGTAGATGATGTAGAGGTAGAATAAATGACATTTTCTGTGATTTTTACTTGTTTTTCCTTTATTGATATGATATTACCATATACATTAATTGCCGTATTATTGATGCGATATTACTGTATTATTGATGCAATATTACTGTATCCATGAACATGCCATTGAGCATTTACAACAACCTTGTGACCTTGTCCACTGCAAGCTTCATATCAGCAGCCTTATAGCATTTTTTCTGTATCTGTAAGCTTACAGGACGGCTTGTAATTTCACACCATTTAATTGGGTTAAGTGAATTTACTATAAAAAAAGATTGTGAAAAACATACCTGAAACAGAAATTAATGTTTTAGTGACAACCATCATATGTTTTGGAGAAATAAATCATAGTTTAGGTCAATTACTTTTCATTCTATGATGCCTGGTGCACAATTCTATATGTGACATTCTATGCACAATTTTGTGATGACCGATGAGGCACTAATTTTTCGATAAGTGAAATTTTTTTCGCTGAGCGAGGTAAATGTAATCAATTCTCTTTGTTTTTAATCAATTTTTTCTTAACTGTAGCCTTTGCTAACTGAGGTTCTACTGTAAATGCATTTTTGGGGGTGTCCCGAATAGCCCCGTGGGGGTGTCCCGAGTAGCCCTGCCGTGTGGGAATGGCCGCCCTTTTTTTTGATTGAGGTATGTAAATTCCGCAAATAAAGTTTTCACGCTGACACTTGTCTACAACTTTTTTCTAAGAGAAATGTTTTAATATGGCAAATATTTTTTTTACTACAGACCTTAGCAGAAGTAACTTTACATAATATCGTTTTTCGCCATTTTTTTCAGGAATTTTTTAAAGCTAGTAAATGTAGTATTTTTAAACTTACTTTATACTACATAGATAGGAAAAATGTTGACGTTTACGCCACTATATTTAGTTTTGCAATATTACAATTAGTTTGGCTACTAAAACAGTTTTATGCTGTGTTGGAGGACTGTCCCGAGTTACCCCGCCCGTCCCGAGTAGCCCCGGTTGACGGTACTGTGCCAGCTGCAACTCAAGTACAGCTTTCTGATCATTTGTGGAGCTGCAAGATTTTTCTACAAATGCCAATGCAAGATTGCAAATTTTGAACTTCATATATAGGTATGGGGGTCCAACTCCAAAATGATGACTTGTTCTTTTATATTTCAATAATATGTTATTTTGGCTCAATTGTTAATTTTTATTAACTAGACTGGTGATAAGATACTTCATCTAGCAGGAATCTTACAGCTCCAAAAATGGCTGGAAAGCTCTAGTCAAGGCTTGGAATGCTGATATAATTATATATAAATTGAAAAATAACTAATAATTCCTGGAAACTCGCAGCTCCAATGCTCAATGCTCTATTACATCCAAGAAAAATGTCAATACCTTCCAAACATAATTGATTGAAGCAGGCAACATTGGAAAATCACTCTGCAGAGCACAGGCACACACTATGTCTAGCATGGGACATGACTGCAGTTCACAACTATGAACTCAACAACCAAATTGATTTACCATATTTGATTCGGTGTTTTTCCTAAACATAAGAAGAGTTAATTTTTTATATAGCTGTTCAATTATAAATTGAAATAAATATGTGAGTTTGAAAGAGTGGAGAGGGGAAATTCTACTCAGCAGGAGCCAGGGGGAATTTTTCCAGGCAAGAAGTATTCCTTCAAGCAGCCTGGCAGTGGGGAATCCTGGAGTAGTACTGAAGTAATAGGTATAAAAAGATAATATATTGTACAGGTAGATTTAAATCTTTGAATCTTGAATCTCTGAATTTTTTGTTTATGATATGACATGTATTTTTTTATAAAATAAGTGATCTAGCATCATAGATACTGGACAAATGGACTACCATTCCTAGAATTAAACCGGGGATCTGAACAGGATGAAATTTGAAATGGGGAAAGGTAACAACAGGTTTACATGCCATATTGGATCTAAACTAAAAACTTGACCTTCTTTCACAAGTTTACCTTCATTTTTGGAAGATAAATCTTAAATGGCTAGATCAAAATTTTTTGGCTAGATCAATCTTGAGTGTATGACTTTCATTTATTGAATTCCACTCAGTGACACTTGGGGCCTGCCAGGAAGCTGTCAGATGACCTATCTTGTCGAGTTCCAATAATTTCATTGCATGGGTCCTAGATATTGAAGTACCATGTATCAAAATTATGCATCTATCATTTAACAATAATTGATTTATTAAATAGGAAATAATAACTAAGCTATTCTTATCTATTGATCCTTTAACAGGTCTCAGCTTAATGAAAGTATATCACTTTAAATCAATAAGAATGCAAGGAATCTATTGTACATCCATCAGAGTATAATCAAACAAATATGGGAAAATAAAATAACTAAAGTTGAAAAGATTTGAAGAATCACATATTGAGATTTTTACCCATTACTTTTTGGCTCATAATTTCAAAGTAGTATTTTTACCTATTCATATCATTTTCTCAGACTCTGTCACTTAAGTTAGTTGACTTATTTTGTCCTTACTCATTTAAAATTTTACTTATCATGCAATACCAAACCTATTTATAAAAATAGTGAGATCGCCTCAAAAGACAAAATAATATGTTAACAAGATGTTATGCAAAAATCTGACCATGACCATTATTTCCATGGGAGGAAATATTAACTTTTATCTAGACAATGATAATGTTGGAAAAGCTACTTTCAAAAGTGTATTTTATTCTATCAGAATATAGGTTTATTATACTGAAATTCAAATGAAATAATTGTGGTTTATGAGGATTAATAGGTCCAAGCTGAAGTCCAGTGAAAGTCTTCTGAATTAGATGCAAAAGTTCAACCTGGCATGCACAAGCCATTTGCACTTGTGAGTTGTGTTGGTTTTATTTAGGATCATTACATTTTGAGTGCCATTAATTCTCTGTCACTAATGATTTATCTTTGTTACTACTTGTTTTCATCACTTATTCAGCACATGATTGTACTTTTCATCACTTGTTCAGCACATGATTGTTAACCTGCTAATTGTTTAGAAATTATTCTCGGGTTTCAATGGGATTTCACTCCCTCCTCTATCTATTTTTTAAGTGTGATTATTGGATTGAAACAAAATATTTAATCTTAATACTTCTCTGTAATGTACCTTCTCATGTACCTCTGTAAGGGGTAATATGGGACGGATTTATTTTGCCTCTGGCACTGTTGCTGTAAGGCTTTTATAGATTATGTAGTGGATCCTATCTATGCTTATTTATCCACGTTATCTTCCTCTGCCTTGCCTCATGTATAACCTCGTAGCCAATGTCCTCTTATATTCCAGTCTCTGTTGCATGCTTTTATGAATAATTAAGTTGAACCCAATTAGTGTGAGACTCTGCTTTGTGACAGAGTCTTTTTGAGAATTCAAATAACCAGGGTGCTTGGCCATGTTAGTGAATGCCCACTCTCATGTACACATGTTCTGTTTCAAATTGTATTTAAAGTGTCCTTTAACTGCTAGTTCATGCAAATTAATTGCTTAACTTTGTGTGTTTAGTTTACATTCTAATTAACGTGTAAATTCTTGAAAATATCAAAATGGTTCTCAACCTACTATCTGGTTCTTTAGTTTATTATGATTTATGCTACATTTGCCCATGATCCCTATCTTATAAAACTAAGCAGTTTGAATGTTTTTCTTCATTGTATTGTTAAAAGAGTATAGTTTTAAACACTCTAAGTTTCTCAAGGTTTTTCTTGAATTGTTTTATAATCTTTCATTCCATTTAATTGTCAATATGTCTCTTACTTAATAACATTGGTTAAGTCACATATAAATAAATAATAGGTCAAGTTTCACTCAAATCATTCAGAGCTTTACAAAATGTTGATTCCTTTAAACCAACTTCTCATTAATTGTGCATTATATGTTTTATTCAATAAGTATAGTTTTAGTTAATTAGACTATGCAGCCACTTTGTATGCATCTGTGGCGTCCAAAAACCTTTTGAAGCTAATTTTTATCCAAAATTGTTGTTTATGTATTGCCCTGGGTTGCTGCAAGTCAACCAATTTACCAAAAAATATTTTGGATTAAAAAAGAATCCAAGCCTGATTACTTGTCCTTTAATCTCTCCATTTCCTGCATGGTTTGATTCTGATGCTCTTTTCTCAGTCAATTTTCCTAAACAGTATTGGGTGTATC